TCGTCTACGCACAGCTGAAGGGGAAGGTGAGAAACAGACCCCCTGGGGCCGGAGAAGGGCAGGACTTCCCACCTGGGCCTTAACCGAGAAGGGTCGAAGGGTGAACCCAGGGCAACAGGGGTGTGGCAGCCACAGGGCAGAGCAGAAAATAAGCTTTGTCAGCCTCTGTGTCAGGGACCCCCCCCTTCCTCCGTTAGAGAGGGAGTCTCTCTGTCAGGGACACCCCCCACCCCCCCAACCCCCCATTAGAGAGAGAGTCTCTCCGTCAAGGACCCCTGTTGCAGAGAGAGAGTCTCTCTATTAGGGAGCTGTCTTACAGAGGGAGTCTTCCTGTGCAGATCCTTTTTAAAGGGGGAAGTGTTTGAACGTCTGTGTTGAAAATTCACGGTCTGTGGGGTTTCCTGTGCTGGGACGGAAGGGGAACTGGGATTTCCTGGGCTGGGAAAGTAGGGACAGTGGGGTTTCCTGAGCTGGGAAGGCAGGGACTGCAGTAAAGTGTAATGTTCCTTGCCCTATGATGTTAACCTGTGCTCCTCACCTCCCCCAGGTTGACCCCAGTCTGGAAGGTGTGATGTCCCTGAAATATTCCCTGGGAGAAGAGCATGTCCAAAACAGCATCCGGTTCAAACTACAGCCCCAGAAATCTGTGAGGTAACTGTCCCCAACTCACTGCTTCAGTATCATAGCCGAGATCCCAAATCTGGGATCCTGTCGGTGCGATATCCTGATACCGGGATAGAGTCGGTCAGTGGGACTTATTTCAGTCAGGTCACCCCTCATTCATATAAGCTCCAATGCAAAAACGCCTCGTCTGTCCGACCTCTCCTCAACCCACTCAGCCCAGGTGTCCATCCGGTAAATCTCCTTCGAGCTGCCTGACCATCTTTCCTCAAATAGCAATACCAAAACTGCACACGGTATTCAAAATGTGGTCCTACCTGCGCAAACTGAAACATGTGCTTTTAAGCTTGGTCTACCGCAGACCAGGACGACACCATTTCAAAATAAAATGGAACCCACTTAGGACTGAGATGAGGCTTTTTTTTTGGTTTCCCTCCCCCTGAGGATGCCCAGCCATCGAATATATTTAAAGCCTTGAGTTGAGAGATTGCTAACAACCAACAACGTAGGGGATATGCCTTTACATTAAGACAGAGTTGTGGTATTGAATGGCAGATTGAAAACAGCCTACTCCTGCTCTCATCTGCCAACATTAAGTTGCCCTTGTGATAAAGACTAGCGTCCCATTTACCTTCTCCGCTACGTGCTGCCCTTGTGTACTAACCTTTGGTAGCTCGTGCTAGAACACTCAAATGCCCCGTTCTCCTGCTTTTTATCTCCTCCCCACCCCGCTAAAGTGAACGTTCTCCCACGTTTCACTCCCATCTGCCAGACTTTTGCCCTTCACTCAACCTGCAGCCTTCTTTCCCTATCCCTCTTAGTGCTGTGTGTGTGAATTTAACACTCCCCTCTTCTAAGCCGCTGCTGTCAATTGTAAAAAAAAGGTTGAGGGAGGTCCCAGCAAGGACGGGACCCCACCTTGTCAGAGCCCACCAGTCAGACAAAGACCCGCTCCTGAATATGTTGTCCCGTTGCAGTCAGCCAACCTCCTGTCCGTTCTAATATACTGAGCCCTATAACATGAGCTTTTGTTTTCCTTTGACGTGGCACCTTATCACATTCCACCTGGAAGTGTGAGGAAAATATGTCCGCAGAGATGTGGCTGCTTCAAAGGATCCCAATAAATGGGTTAAGCGTGAATTCCCCCTGACAAAACCCCCTTCCCACTTACCGTGAGCTTTTATTACCTGCACGGCTATCATCCCTTTCGTGATCGATTCGAACACGTTCTCTCGACAAATGTGGAACCATCTGGGCATGTAGTTTCCCGTTTTCTCCTGCCTCCACCTCTTCTTCTTAAACAGGGAGAGGTTCTATTTGCTACTTGGCGGTCTGCTCGAACCTTCCCCGAATTGAGTGGATTTTGTGAAATTGGCACCATCATGTCTGCTATATCATCAGCTACCTTTTTTAAACAAAATCTATTCAGACCTGAGGTCTGGTCAACCACAGCCTCATCAGTTTCTTCAATAATACTTCCCCCATGACCATGTACTTTCATTATTCCTGTCTCCCTTCCTCTTGCTAATTTACAGCTATTACTGGATATTTTTTTCTCTCTGTATCCTCTATAATGAAGATATTTGTTCATTTGATCCGCTGTTTCTTTATTGTCAATACTGTTGACTCGTCGTTCTCCTCTGCAAGGGCTCCTCTGGACCTTGCTCCAACAAAGGAGCCCCCTTTTCTCTTGCACTGCGAGCCATCTTCCTCCCGTGCTCCCATTTCTTCTTTCTGATTAATCTTTTAGTCATTCTCTGTTGCTCCTTCTTCTCCAACCGAGAATCTACACCGCCACTCATCATGCGATTTGATTTATTGTCACGTGTACCTAAGTACAGTGAAAAGCTTTGTTTGCGAGCAGTTACAGGCAAAGACATACAGATCATAAGGTGGAAAAATCTTTGACAAAGTGAGGCATACAGGTTACACCAAGGCAAAGCAAGATCAGCAATAATAAGATGAGCATTATTTGAAGTTAGAGAGTCCATTCATCCGTCTAATAACAGCAGGGAAGAAGCTGTTCCTGAACCTGATGGTGCGTGTGTTCAGGCTTCTGTATCTTCTGCCTGACGGACAAGGTTGTAGGAGATCATTACCAGGGTGCGATGGGTCTTTGATGATGTTGGCAGCCTTTCTGTGGCAGCGAGCCGTGTAAATAGACTCCATTGATGGAAGAGATAGTAGGAACTGCAGATGCTGGAGAATCTGAGATAACAAGGTGTAGAGCTGGATGAACACAGCAGGTCAAGCAGCATCAGAGGAGCAGGAAGGCTGACGTTTCAGGCCTAGACCCTTCTTCAGAAATGGGGGAGGGGAAGGGGCTTCTGAAATAAATAGGGAGAGAGGGGGAGGCGGATAGAAGATGGATAGAGGAGAAGATAGATGGAGAGGAGACAGACAGGTCAAAGAGGTGGGG